GGATATTAACTAAACAAAGAACAAATTTTACAATACAATAAGGATATGAAGTGCCTGGACTCTATATGATATCACATGATTATCCTTTCTATCTTATTTAAACTGTTGTCAGGAACATTATTGAAAACAAAGAATATTTGGTAATCAAGAGGTTTAGACAATTATAATAAATCAAAATGTGTATCCATATGCCATCTTTATACTATTTTGTGTATTGCTATAAAACTAGAGGCCCAGTACATGAAATATATTCATGGGGGTTGGGGGGGTCCCTCAGCCCTGCCTGCACCCTCTCTAATCCGGGACCCCTCAGGGGATGTCTGACTGCCGGTTTAGGCCCAATCCCACAGTCAGACATCCCTCTCACAATCTGGGACCACTGGCTCCTAACTGCTCACCTGCCTGCCTGATTTCCCAAACCACTCTGCCTGCTTGATACCCCTAACTGCTCCCCTGTCTGCCTGATCACCCCTAACCGCTTCTACCTGCCAGCGTGGTCGCCCCTAACTGCCCTCCCTTGCTGGCCTGGTCACCCCTCACCACCTCTGACTTGGCTCCCACCATGTGGCTTTGTCCAGAAGGACATCCAAATGGATGTCTGGAAGATGTCCAGTCTATGTAGCATATTACCCTTTTATTAGTATAGATACACATTTATGAACGAAGTAATCTCAAAGTTATGTGAACCTCAGTAGGCATAATATTAAATTAGAAGTTAGAAATGTCATATTCTAGATAAATGATCTTGAGTGGTTATAACTTTGAGGGAACCATGAGCCTTCCTGTGTGCCTGCCTATCTAGTCTCACATTTCTAAGTCTATTTCCTCCAACTAGGAAAATACTGTGAGGATTAAAAGTCTACAGTTATTGGTAATATATATATCCAATAACCAAACATTAGGAAATGGTGAAATAAATTATTTTCATTTCTATGTTGGAATATTACAAAGTCATGAAAATTATTTAAAATTTATTTTTAAGCGTGTCCCCCCCCTCCCAATAGCACACATTAGAGCACTGTCCTCAAGTAAACAGCGTTCAGAATTGCAGAGGCACTCCATTTAGACCTAATAAGGCTTTCCAAGCATTAATCCTAAAAATGCATGGCATACAATTTTTCTGAAGAGTGACCATAGGTTGAGATGCTGATTGCTTTACATTTTATCTTCTATTAAAAGAAAATTTCTATGATCCTCATGTTTCCAGATTTATAGTCTATAACACATGTGTCAAACACAAGGCCCGCGGGCCAAATCCGTCCCGCCAGGCCTTGCAATGTGGCCCGCACCGCGCTGTCATCACTGCACTCCACTGCGTTTCCATCACAATGACAGTTTATGACTGTTCAGTTAACCATTCGGCCCGCGATTTAGGCTGGATTTTAGATTTTGGCCCCTTCTCTGATTGAGTTCGACACCCCTAGTCTATAATGTAGTGTTATATTCTGACAATAATACTAAAGAGAAAGTATGAATTTAGGTGTAGATAGCCTGTTGAAATTGATATTCTATTAAAATCCTACAACTTGCTAAATGAAGTTTGGCATATTTATACAATGTGTTCTCCCAGGTGAGAGACGGATATTTTAGTCTGTAAGGATATTAAATCAATATCAGAGTATATCCTTGCAGAATTGTTTATTGTATTTTAGATTGACAATACCCTAAATAACCATTCCCAAGGAAATAGTGCAATATATTATTTTAACTCCTACTTTGGAGTATTATAAAGTCATAAAAATCATTCACAATTGCTTTTTCTTAAAGTATACTTTCTGATTTTAAAATAACATATGCTCATTGGAGAGAAATAGGAACATCAAGGTAAGCAAAGAGAAAAAATATATATAATTCACCACTCAGGGAAAATCAGAGCTGGTATTTTATTTTATTCTTATCTAGCTTTTCTCCTCTATACACATATATGTATACCTTTTGCATGATTTGTATTATACTGCATGTAATATTTTGTATTAAGCTTTTTTTTACTTAACATACTCTTAAATGTTGTAAAGACTCTTTAGCAATGTGGAAAAATACTTATATAGAAAGGATAGATTTTTGTTCATTATTAATACATGTATAACTGATACATGTATTATTCCACATGTATCAGTTATACACAATCATATCTGCATAGAGCGTAGAGGATATTGCTTAGGCTTCCTAAAGTTTCATTTCTTTCTCTGCAAAATGAGATGAATAACTCTCAGGAAAGTCATAGAAGTTCCTTAGGAAACTTTAGGAAAGTAATAGAAGTTCCTTAACATAATACAAGGAAAGTTGATGATGATAATAAAAGAAACTATGTAAAAATCTTGACTGCAGTGATAACTGGATGAATTATGGGTAATTGTTATTTATTTATAGATTTTTACTTTTCTAAAATTTCTACACAACACATGTTGCCTTTTAGTAAGGGGAAAATATATTTTAAAAATCTGGATATATTAACTGTCCTTCTTAAGACTATGTAAATTGTTCTGGAACACAGAGTCTTTGGGCATAACTAAGAAGGTCCCCAATACTGTCTCATTCAGTCTCTGGCAAATAGTATATATTTTTATCTATTAACAGTGGAGGACAAATGGCAGATCTGAGGAATCAGACATGCCTTTGTGCCTACAAAACTGGTGGGGCTCTAATTAGAATATTTTTCTTTTCCCAGAAGTGAAATACCTAATCTAACAACAAACTATTTGAGATTGAAACTACCTGAAAGAGTAGGCTGTAAGGTAGTGGTCCCATGTGCATTTCATCAATCAAAGTCTTCCATCAAAGACTTGCAAAACACTTGCCCTGTTGGTTCTCTGAGTAGAAAAGGGCTGCTGTGTTGCTCAGCAACAGGCACATTTGCATAGGTCCTCTGGAGTTGTGCAGTTTGGTGGGACTGAATAGTGGTTCCAAATTCCCATCTGGATTTTAACACTGTTCCACCCACTCTCACTCCCATGGAGGCTAGATTGAAAGACAAAATTCCCTATCCAACAGTAGCTTGGAGGTGGTTGGAGAGTGTTTAAACGTAAGTAGCAAAGAATGCATTAAATAATTGCTCCTTTGTGACTCTTCCTATCTGAACAATATTTTTCATTCTTTCATCCGTTAGGTCCAGTTCATTATTGTCACCATCCACATAGGCCAATTCTTTTTCATGGAGGATTGCAAGTACCAGTTTCCAGTCTTTCTGTACATCATTATGAGTTATGGGTGCATCTTTCTGCTGCTCTTTCTCCATTTCTGGTACCGTGCTTACACCAAAGGTCAGAGGCTGCCCAAAACTGTGAAAAATGGAATCTGCAAAAACAAAGATCACTGAAATTCAAGTGCAACCTGAATCTATGAATGAGACTGATATCTTGTCTTCCTTGACAATCAAGTGATATTTCCATGTGCAGTGCATTTTGTATATTTTTCAAAAGCAAGAGCTTGTATTTTTATGATAAGTTATTGGGGTTTCTGATATTTGAGAGCCTATACTCCCAGATAACAGTCTCCTGATAATTAGAGCCTAAGGCAGCCCGTTTTTCAGCTGCTTTTAAACCTCATCTAAAGGTTTTATTTAATACATTTTGTTACACTAAAAGGATCATGTGAAATAGTACAGTACTTTTCAAAGAAGTTCAGTATAAATGAGAAATATCACTAGATATTTTGAGTACAGACAGAGATCCATGCTGTACAGTGGATTCCTCCTGCCAGGTCTGAAAACCTCTCATGTGGACTTGGGCATTGTAGCTTGTTGACTATACTCAGAAGACACTGTGTTTATTCTAGAGTTAAATTCCCATTCTAAAGAATTAACAAAAAAGAACATTAAGTTAATGTTGGGTAAGTTGTCATGTAGAATCACTAACAATTTTTAATGGATCTCTTGAGTAGTTGCCACCAGTTTTGCTGATAAGACTGTCTCACAACCTTTTGTCATATGAAGTGTTTAGAAGTAACACTCCTTTCAAGGGACACATTGATGCACTTAATACTAAGGTTAAGTTAATATTTTGAAAACAGGTGATTTTTTTTCTAATGGCTTAATGAGCACTGTGCTATTATTGTCTTTCAACTGTCTTTGTATGTTTCTGGAAAGAGGTGAATTTGTCAATGGAAAAAGTACTGTATAGCCCTAGCCAGTTTTGCTCAGTGGATAGAGCATCAGCCTATGGACCAAAGGGTCCCAGGTTTGATTCCAGTCAAGAGCATGTATCTCGCCCTAACTGGTTTGGCTCAGTGGATAGAGCATTGGCCTGCGGACTGAAAGTTCCCAGGTTCGATTCTGGTCAAGGGCATGTATCTTGGTTGTGGGCACATCCCCGGTAGGAGGTGTGCAGGAGGCAGCTGATCAATGTTTCTCTCTCTTCGATGTTTCTGACTCTCTATCTCCCTTCCTCTCTGTAAAAAAATTAATAAAACATATTTTTTAAAAAAGAGCATGTGCCTTGGTTGCAGGATCCTCCCCGGCTTGGGCCCTGGTCAGGGCTCCTGCAGGAGGCAACCAATCAGGTGTTTCTCTCACATCGATGTTTCTCTCTGTCTTCCCCTGTCTCTTCAATTCTCTCTGAAAATCAATGGGAAAATATCCTCAGCTGAGGATTAGCAAAATAAACAAAAAATAAATAAAGGTAATTAAATGTTTGAAAAGAAAAGTACTGTATAATTCACTGGGAAAAATCTGTTGTCTGTTGTATCATAATGTCACTTTCTTATATGGTCATTGTTTAAATGATTATCTTGGTTAAATATATATTGGTTAGATGTGTAAATGTTCATGTCATTAATATATTGCAGGTACCCTTAAATCATAAATGATTTTAGACTACCCACCACAGTTTCCAGAGATGTGTTAGAATGGCTTATGAAGCAATTGGAGGCAAATGGTGATACAGAGATTATCCAGGGAAGATTTAGTTATATGAATGTTTCTATTAAGAGAGAGAGAGATAGAGAGAGAGAGAGACAGACAGAGAGAGAGAGAGAGAGACAGAGAGAGAAAGAGAGAGAGAGACAGACTACATGATTGGTATTGTTATGGATATACTGCATAAAAAATATTTTCTAGACTTATTAACAGCCTGAATTTTTTTCAAACTTATAAATTATATAAAGAAGGACTAAAATTCATTTTGCAATGTTTTATTTCTTTAAAAATTGCTACTTTCTAAAATTCTCTTATTCTTGAACAAATAGATTTTTGTCCAAGAAACACCAATATTTGGACATTTAAAATTTTTCCTTATAGTTTGTTCCTGTTATATTTATGTTCAGTTTTTGAAGGACAGCTTATGCTTGTATTACTTCAAACCAGAGGTCGCTAACTGGTGGTCCGAGGACCACTGAAGGTCCATGAGGTCTGAATGGTTGGCAACAGCTGGTTTAAAGAAATCATTGGAGCAGTGGTCGCCAACCACTGGTGGTCTGTGAGGGTCCAAAAGGTTGGCAGCCGTTGCAAACAACTAGTATTGAAAGGCCTCAATTATTGTGTAACATGCAGTGATACTTAACTGTACAGCAAAGTCTGAGTGCTTACTCACTCTAAGCTTCTCTAGTTCTGTGTCTTCCCCCAGTCTGTAATCTATACCATGGCCTTTTCACACTTACCCTGTTCATAGGTTATGTGCCTTTAGTGATCTTTAATGACTTCACTTGTTGAAAATGGGGGAAATAAATATTTAAAAAAAAATAAAGAATAAAGAGCAGGAGAACAGAGCTAAAAGAAATAGCAGACTTAATTTACTTCTCTGAGAGTCTAAGGATTCCTTAAGTGTTTTCTTCTTTTGGCTTTTCAAATCCAACTTGTGCTAAATAAAAAGGTATGGTTGGTGCTGTCATATACTAGTACTCATACAATTGCCAAAGACCCCAGTAGGGTAAAGACCAAATGGAAGCAAAAATAAAAGAAGATAAAACAGGAGAGTTTGGTTTCTTTCCCTGCATCCTTTCTGACCTGCATTGTACGACTGCTGTTAATTGCCCTGCAGTTTTTGAAATATTTGAGGTGCCTACTAGTTCACAGTAACATGTGATAGAAACACATTCTAAATTATACAAATCGAAGAAACTATGTTACATGAAAAATCACAGATGGCAGAAACATCCTTGGTGTAAACATTGGCAGATAAAAATGCATCCACCGGATGCAGAATTTGCACAGTGTTTTTTATTAAAGGACTTTGTGGGTTACAGAGAGTTTCTGTTGGGGTTTCATCCCACTTTTCAGGATTTTATTGCCTTTGGATTTGCTTACCTAACAAATAAAGAGCCCAGTTACAAAATATGGTTTATGACATAAGTGGCTCTATCAATCCTTGAGAATATTGTAAATAAATATAAATTAAAAATATTAAATATATAAGGGACATTGCAATTTTCCAGTCTTAATTAGTAGAATTCTTAATTGAGTAGACTACACTGTTACCTAAATTATAAGGTTATGAGTTATATTTCTTCATATTAACCCTTATTTTTTCATGTTTTTAAAGACTGTGGAAAACTCTGGCTGTTGTCAAAGTTTTGATTGTGTGTGCGTGTGTATTATAATAAATGTGTTATGTTACATGTATGTGTATGTGTGTACATTATAATATATTTGTTGTATTAAGTGTGTGTGTGGTGTGTGTGTGTGTGTGTGTGTGTGTGTGTGTATCTTTCATTTGGATCCTAACTGCATATGTTTGCATGGGTAGGTGCTTTTTAACATGAATATTCTTTTAGCCAAAGCATTTTACATATTTGTTGTATACATGCTATGTTCAGACATTAGTGATACAAAAACACCTGTGACATAGTCGGGGCCTCCTAGAGTTTAGCAGCTGACTGGTAGAAGAAATTACATTATAGACTAGTATATGATAGTTGCTATCTGAGTGAAAATCCTGTCACTGGGCAAGCAGGGAAGGCTCTGTGAAGGAATTTGAATTTGAGTTCTGTGTTAAAGGTATACCAAATTTCAAAATGGGTGGTGGGTTAATGAGAAAGGTGTGCTAAGTAAAACAAAATAACGAAGTGTGGGCCAGGGGAAGGAAAGTATTAGAAAAATCCGGGAATGGCCAATGAACCAAATCAAAGTGAGGCTTCCTGTAGGTGTCCCAGAGAAATGAGGCCAGAAAGGGAGGTGAGTTCTGACCTCTGGTACCGTAGCTGCATCAATTGGGCTGATTCTCGAGACAACGGGAGTATTCAGTGGTTTGTGAAAGAAGAGGGGTGATTGAAGTGGGTACCTTAAGAGGAGTCCTCTGGTGGGGTGGAATGGGGTTTTTTTGGGGGGGGCATGAGACACTAAAGCAAAGATAAATAAGTTTATTTTAAGGTTCCACCTTAAACATTAACAAAATCTGACTACTGGGCCCTGCTTATGTCATTCCTCGATTTCAGGATTAGTTTCCTATCCGACTCACTGCTTCTGCCCTCACCTTCTGACAATGCATAGTCTAGGTCATATTCAAACATAAATTAAATCATGTCATTCTTACTCAGAAGCCTACAGTAGCATCTGATTTCACCCAGACAAATAAGAAAGAGCCAGAGTTTCTACAGTGGTCTACAAGGTCATCCATGAGCTGTCTCCTACCTGCCATTGTACCTGTGTCCTCACTTGTGACTCCACCCTTGCCTCCCTCTGCTCTACTCACACTGGCCTCCTTGTGTCCATTGGACCATGCTAAGCATGTTCTTATAGTAGAGCCCTTGGTTTAGCTTTTGACTCTGCTTAAGGGACAATCTGGGACCGCTGGCTCTTAACCGCTCGCCAGCTTGATCACCCCTAACCACTTTCCCACCTGCCTCATTGCTTCTAACCACTCACCTGCCTGCCTGATCCCTCTTAACTGCCTCTGCCTGCCTGATTACCCCTAACCACTCGCCTGCCTGCCTGATCACTCCTAACTGCATCTGCCTGCCTGCCTGCCTGATCGCCCCTACTCACTCACCTGCCCCTAACCACTCACCTGCCTGCCTGATTGCCCCCTACTGCCTCTGCCTCAGCCCCCACCCTTCATCCGGAAGGATGGCCAGAAGGTTATTCAGCTGTCTGGTCTAATTAGCAAATTATGCTTTTATTATTATAGATTAATTTTAGGAGGGAGACAATAGACATAAAGTATTCTCATCAAGGGTGTTATATCAAAGGTACATGCTATCAATATGACTTTACACTGTTGATGTTAACCTTGCTCACTTGGTTGAGGTAATGTTACTCTTCCCCCCACCCCTCCTTTATTCTTTGGGAGGGAGTAACTGTGAATAGATACACTTAAGGATACCCCCCTTGAGGGAAAAGTATCTGTATAAATTATTTAGAATTCTTCTATATAGGTGAGTTGCCTATTCTAGTACTTAATCACATATATTATTTATATTAGTATGGACTCATGAATATCTATTTTATACTCTGGGTTATAATCCAGTAAAGCTTTATTTATTTCATTACTCACATTTGTATGTCTCCATTAGGAGGTCTTCCTGTGTCACTTTGATATATTCCCACTTACTTTCTGGCACTACAAGATGCTCCAGGCTCATCTTATATATTTCCTGCCCTAATCCTAGAACAGTCGAATCTCCTAGGGGCCCTGGCTCCTTTGGTTGGAGAATGGTATTGGAAAACAAGAGCTGGAATTAGGTGTGCTAATTTCTACTGGAGTATCATTGCTCTGGGCCTTCTCAACTGACAGAGCCAGGAAGATGTATGTATACTAACCAGAGTATAAAGACATATCTAAATCTATCTATCTATCTATCATCTATCTATCTATCTATCTATCTATCTATCTATCTATCTATCTATCATCTATCTATCTATCTAGAAACCTAAGTGACCAGACAACCGGTAGCTAATGATGTGCACTGACCATGAGGGGGCAGACGCTCAATGCAGGAGCTGCCCTCTATCAGTGCACTCCCATAGCCAACCTCCTGCGGCCGGCCAACCACCTGCAGTCCCTTCTCCTGGCTGGCCATCCCTGATTGGCCCCAACTGGGCGAGCTGGCCCCAATTGCTGAGAGGGACCCCCACCCATGCACAAATTCATGCACCAGGCCTCTAGTATTTCTATACGTAACTATATCTTATTAAGATAAATGAGTTCATATTGATATCTCCAAATGTAATCCATTACCTCATGAATCATTTTAGCCTTTGTCTCTTGCTTGTCTATAACTCCAACACTGAGAAACCTGGCTCCCACCATCTGCTATCTATTTACTTAATAGTTCAAGTCGAGTATGCATGTATAGTTGTTTCTGAATTGTTAACCCAAACCTCACTTTGTCAGCTACAGTTCCTTTAGTCTTCCATATACAGACTTCTCTTATTTCCAGAATTACTTACCATATTTTCCGGCGTATAAGACGACCCCCTAATTTTACAGTTAAAACATAGGTTTAGGCCTATATTCACTATATAAGACTACCCCCCACTTCCGAGGCAACACCAGTTCTTTTTTTAATAAACCGCCTCTCTGACTCTGGCCAATCTGAGCAGGCTTTTTACTAGAACACAGTGGTCATCTTATACTCCGGAAAATACAGTAGGTTGCCTTTCTCCCTCATCTTCTTCAATGAGGTTGTTTCATACAGTATTTGTAACACAATTAGATTCTTTTGTCACATTCTACATTTCATCCTGGAACCTGTCACCTTCTAAATGATTAAAAATTTTTGGCCTTCTTTAAGGTTTACTCCCTGTGCTGTAAAGCTCTTTGAGTTTTGACAAATGCAGGTGTCATATATTCACCAGTATTATCTGGAACAGTTTCAATGCCCTAAAAGTTCACTGTGCTTCATAGATACAAACCTTCCCTGGCCTGAACTCCTGGCATCCACTGTTCTGTCTGCCATGTCCATAGTTTTGCCTTTTCCAGAATGTCATATAAATGTAATCATATATTATGTAGCCTTTTTAGATTAGATAGGTCCACTTATAAATATGTATTTAAGATTCCTCCATGTCTTTGTATGGCTTGATAGCTTATTTATTTTTATTTATCAATCATATTTAATTTTTCTTTATCCATTTGCTTATTGAAAGGCATCTTGGTTGCTTCCAGTTTGGGGGTGATTATGAGTAAAGCTGCTATAAACATTCACATGCTGGTTTTTGTGTAGATATAGGCTTAAAGGCATGTGGGTAAATATGTAGGAACACAATTGCTGCAGAGCTCTTTGCAGTGTAGTTCTGGTTTCTGTTCCTTGATAGCCCTGTGGTGTCATGTGGACTGATTGCTTACATTATGGCACCTTTTATCCATATATTTTCCTCACATGTGCACTGTATAACTTTCCAGTTTTCTTCCTTGTACCATTTTGCAAAGTGAATCAAGATAAATGGTTTTCACAATTCCCCTACCCATTGAAGAGTAATTATAGTTGCCAAGAGGGAAAATTTAAACCTGTGATTTTAAGACTATGTGCCAGTTTTATATCTACAGGCAAAGCAGTCTGTCATGCAATTCCTCATTGAAAATACATTTCCTTTGTCATTATTTACTTCTGCCACTGGAGAGCACTTTTGCATAAAACTGCAATATATTTTGTCCTAGTCAAATCAAAGCCGCACCTTAAAGGAATAGCATCTAATTTCTTGTCCCTGACTACAGGAGGGAAGGGAGCATTTGTTGCCGCTGGATGGTGATGGTGGTGGTGGTAGTGATGTGTGCGATTGTCTTTCAGATTTGATGGACTCCTTTCCTACTACTACTGTGCCAATTTCTTCCTTCTGGGCTACTACTGACATCCTTGGATTGATTATGCAGGCTCTTCTTGGTTTTCCACCCGAGGGTGGGACATATAAATCTCCCAACTACATAAAACTACTACTTTTGTCATCTGTGATTCACAATCACATTATCATTTTCATACAGGAGTCTTTGTTATGATTTCTTAATAGATTGACATTTCAGGGTGTGGTCCTGTAACACAATTAACTTTATGTTTGCCTAATTCATTGTTGTATGCTGGCACATTTTTTCTTCTTTTTCCCCCAGCTTTATTAAGGTATAATTGACAAATAGACATTGTATATATTTTAACTATGCAACTTGATGTTTTATATACATTGTGAAATTATCACCAAAATGAATCTAATTCACACAGCTATACAATAAAGTATTGTCAACAATAGTCACCATGCTGTACATTAGAGCTCCAGAATTTATTCGTTTTGTATAACTGAAATTTTGTACCTTTTGACCAGTATCTCCACATTTCCCCCTCCCTTCTTCCCACTCCCACTCTGGCAATCACTGCTAACTCTCTGCTTCTATGAGTTTGGCATTTTATATTCCACATATAAGTGAGCTCATGCAATGTTTGTTTTTCTGAGTCTGGCTTATTTCACTTACAATAATGTCCTTTAGGTTTATTTAGGTCGTCACTAATGACAGGATTTCCTTTTTTTTTTTTTTTTAAGGCTAAATGGTATTTCATTTAATACACACACACACACACACACACACACACACACACCATATTTTCTTTTTTAAATTAAATTTACTTTTTCCATCACCATTGATCCTCTCTGTGCCCTCTTCCACCTCCACCCACTCCCTGCAATCACCACACTGTTGTCCGTGTCCAGGAGTTCTCTCTTTCTCTTTTTTCTTTTCTCCTTTTTTCTCAAACCCTTTTCTTTATCCATTCATCCGTTGATAAACACTCAGGTTGTTTCTGTATGTTGGCTATTGTGGGTAGTGCTACAATGAACATGGGAGTGCAGACTCTTTGAGATACTGATTTTTTTTTCTTTCAATATATACCCAGAAGTAGGATTGCTAAATTATATGGCAATTCTATTTTTTAGTGTTTTGAAGAGTCTCCATACTGTTTTTTCATAGTGGCTGTACTAACTTCCATTTCTACCAACAATGTACAAGGGTTCGCTTTTCTCCACATCCTTGCCAACATTTATCTGTTGTTGAGAATAGTCATCCTAACCGGTATGAGATTGTATCTCATTGTAGTTTTGGATTACATAATTTTTACCTTCTCTTTTTAGAATGAGAAAATAAAAGGAAAAAGATAATTTTTGTTAGTAAATACAGTATTTTCCCCTTTTGAGAATTTATACACCCAGAAACAAAGATTTTTAATTTGCTAGAAATAATTTTTATGTAAAGCATATTATTCTTTAAACTGTTAAGGTTTTTAATCCAACTTGTCAAATTCTATTTTTTAAAAACTAATTTTTGGAAGGAAGCTGATTCTCTTTAACATCATATAATAATAGTCTACCTACTGTGTGGTTCTGCAACTCCCAACCCCCTGTCTTTGTCTTTAGCAGGGCAAAATAAACAATAAACAGCATTCATTTTTCTTCTACACAAAAAGAAAAAGAAACTTTAGATATTGTTTTTAAATAAACAATGTAGAAAGATTTAAGTACTTCTAGTTACTTGGCTCTGAACTTTTAATAAAAAGTCCTGTCTCTAACTCACAGGGATTGTAAAATTGAAGAATGAAAGCTGCTAGTCTAAAACATATCTGTAACATCAGATTATAGAATGTTCTTTGATACATTAATTTTTTCAAATGTGTCCTTGTAGGGAATATGTTTTTATGGCTGTACATACCCAGTTTGCAAACATAAGACAATCAGGGCAAATATGGAAAAATGATATGGACTGCAGATTTAAATAACTTTTACCCTGATGCATGAAGTAAGAAAAAGGGCAGAGTATTACCTGAACTTATACATAGACAGATGGTAGAATTCTTCAATATCATGAGGGCAACATTTCAATTCTTACCCTCTAATTAGTTAGTAAATGAATTACTAATTAGTTAGTAATTAAGCATATTGATCGCTCACAGTTTCCCCTTTTCTTATTTTTATAATTATTTTAAAGAAAAAAAAGTTTGTTAGAATAAGGCAGAAATGTGTGGTGTATGCTTCTAAAGACAATAGACAAAGGAAGGGTCTTCTTTCTGCCTAATTAGGGAAGCTAGCAAGGAGAAGAGCACCAAGACAGGCAGGATAGATTTTGTTGTTAAGATGTCCTTTTTCTTTTTACAATGTTTACCATGTAAAACTCTCGGTGCTTGACTGATTGTAGCCATGCATGCACTGTAGAAAATAAACAATTTCATTCTAATACTATATAACAAAAGCCTAATATGCTAAGTGTCCAGTTGTTTAGTTATCTGTTCAACCAATCAAAGTGTAATATGCTAATGATATGCTAAAGCCACTCAACCCCTCACTATGATGTGCACTGACCACCAGGGGGCAGATTCTCTGACCGGTAGGTTAGCTTGCTGGTGGAATCCAGCTGATTGGGACTGAGCAAGATGGGCCAGACATGCTCTGGAGCCCTCCTGCAGTCCCTCTCTGGCTGGCCAACATCCCTCATCTCTCTCTGGCCCCAATCGTACACCAGTGGGGTCCCTTGGACTGGCCTACACCCTCTCATAATCTGGGACACCTCAGGGGATGTCAGAGAGCCAGTTTCGATCCCATCACACAGGCAAGGCCAAGGGACCCTACTGGTGCACAAATTCATGCACGGGGCCTCTAGTTTAAAAATATATAAAGTTAGGAAGAAGAAACTTAATTATTTACATTGTTGTTGCTTTTTTGTTGTTGTTTTTTTTCTTTTCTTTCCCACCCAATTTAAAAAATAACACAAGCTGGAAATAGAAAATGTGGAAAACACTAAAAGTATAAATGGAAAATGTAATCTACCATATTTTCTTCATACAAAGAGATCTACTATTAGTATTTGTTATAAGTTTCAGGTTAACTGTTGCAGAATAATGCTATCTAATAGTCAACCTCAAAATCTTAGTAGTTTACTATAGTTTTATGAGTCAGTGGGTTGATTGAGCTGATTTTAGTTGAACTCAGGGTTGTTGCCATTTTTTGGTTAGTGTAAATAATGTTTCAATGACCATAGTGGTACATATATCTTTACAGATTAGTGCTTCTATATTCTTCAGGAAAATACCCAGAAGAGGAATTGCTAGATCATATGCTTGTTCTATTCTTAAGGGTTTAAGAACCTCTATACTATCTTCCATAGTGGCTGCACCAATTTACAATCCCATCAACAGTGTATGAAGTTTCCCCTTTCTGCACATTTTCACCAACATTTGTTATTTCTTATTTTTGATAGTAGCCATTCTAACAGGTATGAAGTGATATCTCATTGTGATCTTCATTTGCATTTTCCTAATAACTAGTCATGTTGAACATCTTTTTCTATGTCTGTGGCCATCTATATGTCCTCCTTGAAAAATACCTATTCAGAGCCTCTGCCCATTTAAAAATCAGATTGTTTGTTTTTTGCTTAGTTGTAAGAGTTCTGTATATATTTTGGATATTAACCTAGTATTAGAAGTATCATTTGAAAAGATCTTCTCCTGTTCAGTTGGTTGCCTTTTTGTTTTGTTGATGCTTCCTTTTGCTATACAGAAGCCTTTCAGTTTGATTTAGTCCAGTTCATCTGTCTTTGCTTTTGATCTTCCTGCCTTTAGAGTCCAATTTGCAAAAATATCTCTGAGACAAATGTCCAGAAATTTAGTGACTATATTTTCTTCCATATGTTTTATTGTTTCAGTCTTACATTCAAGTCTTTATTAATATTGAATTAATATTCTGAGTTAATATTATGGTGGTGTAAGATAATTTCCATTCTTTTGCATGTGCCTGTCCAGTTTTTCCAACACAATTTATTGAAGAGACTTTTCTATCTCCATTGTTTTTACTTATTTCTTTTCTTTATTTTTATTTTTTCTATATCTTTAATTCCCATAATAAACATATGTATTTTATAGTGTAAAAAATTTAAACACACACCCATTAGGATGGCTACTGTTTGAAATAAAAAGGCAAACAAAATAACAAGGGTTGGTGAAGATATGGAGAAATTGAAACCCTTGTGCAGCTGCTATAAAAAAAAGTATGGGTTTCTCAAAAAAATAAAAATAAAATTACAATATAATCCAGCAATTCTGCCTTTGGGTAAATACACAAAAGAATAGAAAGCAGAGACTTAAAGAAATATTTGTACACCTATATTCATAGAAGTCTTCACTTGAGCCAAAGGTGGAAGCTGCCCAAATACCCATCAGCGGATGAATGGGTAAACAATGTGTTTATTTACAGCAATTGGAATCCTATTTAGCCTTAGAAAGGAAGGAAATTCTGACACATGGGTCAACTTAGATGAAACTTGAGGACATTGTGGAAAATAAAATAGGATAAAAGCAAATACTGTATGATTTCATTTATATGGGTACTGGGAGTAGTAAAATTCATAGAAACAGAAAGTAGAAGGGTGGTGGCCAGCGGCTGGCGGAAGGGAGGAGTGAGGAGTTGTTATTTAACGAGTACAGAGTTTCTGTTTTGCAAGATGAAAAGAGTTCTGAATATTAGTTGCACAAGGATGTGAATGTACTGAACATTGCTGAACTGAACACTTGAAAATGGTGAAGATGGTAACTCTCACGTGACTCCCCTTATCTTTCCTAAATTTGTAACCTGACACCAGGTTTATTAGATGTGGTGTCAGAGTTATGCCAGCATTGTAAAAGGAGTTGGAAAGCTTTAAAAAGTCTGTTAGACACTTTCACATAGCATACGGATTGGGCATATTTATAAGGAATCTTCCAGGTTATAAACTCTGAATTCTTCATGTTACTCATACTTTACCTGCCCCACCTGGGTACAGACCTCTGGCCTTCCTTCTCTGCATTCACTCTTGCCACTGCTCTGTTTCAACCATGTCCAGGGCTGGGACAGGCCAGGTTTTTCATGAGCCACCTTGGGTGGTGGCAAAAGGGCAGACCTTTGGAATAAGGAAGGGGGAAGGCAAGCCTTGTGCTCAGACACTGGTCCCCCCAACCTCTCCCCATCCTTTCCTCCTCACACAAAGGATCTAACCAAATTTCCAGCTCCTTTGCCATTTGTTTCCCTTCCTCCAGAGACTCACACCTTCCTTTTGAAGGCTTTTGAAATGTGTTTATTGGCTTTGTGTACCTTTGTGTTCTTAAGCTGCTATTATGAACTCCATTCTCATCTTTGTACTTCCCTGCCGGGTATAAAAGAAAAAAAGGGAAGCAGAGAGGTGGGGGTTGCTAGGGAACACTAAGTTAGGGTGGAGACCATTAATTAGATTCCCCATTGTCTGAGAAATCTTCAGAGAACCACAAAATGGGTGTGTGCTCGCTTTGGTGACAGGAAGTGACAGTGATATTTCACAGCTGCTGCCCTAGAACACTGTGCACTGCAGGAAAGAGCCTTCTTCCACCTGGAATGCTAACGTGCACCCTTGCCCCAGCCAATCTTTTCTGCATCGGCCAATATGAATTTTAAAATAGATCCAGGTATGCCTCTTTCCTGCTTAAGCCTTTTAATAGCTTTCCTTTATATGGATGATAAAAACTAAAAACCTTAACTTGCTCTCAAGGCCCTAAGGAGTCAGTATCTGCCCAGCCTTCCAGTTACCCTAACAGCCGCCCCGCCCCTAACTTTTGGCTGAATAAAGACCTCAGCATTCTTTTTGGCCTCCCTAATAGTCCAAGTCCCTTCTTTACTTCTGTCTAGAACCTGTTCAACTGACTAGGTCCCTAGCCCTCTGCCACCACCACCACTGCCCCCAACATACACACAAACCCCTAATCCTTGAACTGATAACGCTTATCCATGTCTCAGATCTTAGGGATGCCTTCACAACTGCCCAGAGTATATCAGATTCTCTGTTGTGTGCCTAGGACTCAGTGCCTGTTTGTAGAGCCCGCACAGTATTTTCAGTTAAGTGTTTGTATGATCATCTAGTTCTTATTTGTTCTTCCCACTAGTAAGCTCCATGAAGGCCATGACTCTGCTTGTGCTGCTTCGAATTTTATCTTGGGTGCTTAGTATAACCCTATGTAGAAGAAGCACTCACTCAAAAAATATATTTGTTGAATCAATATAGAAATTGGTCAAATTAAAAGGCAAGGTGTATGTCCTGTAACACACTGGGTCAGATGTTGGGGTATAGGAGGGTTAATTCATTTCCCCTGCCTGAGTTTGGAAAAGTCTTAGAGATAGATGCAGGAGCCAGGAAGGTAAAAATAAAAACTAGAACTGAAGAAAAATGGTATGAGAAATACCATTTCCAATGAAAAGGAATGGAGCCTCCTTGGAGAAATGGTTGATTTCAGATTTAGAGAAGGATGAGCTTGAAATCTCTTGTGATAGAAATAAAGACACTACTTAAAGATTAATGGGATATACTGAAAGAACACAGGAGCTGTTTCATAAAGACAAATAACAGTAATGGATCATAATTCATTAAATAAACAAAGATTTCATAAGTCCATGATGACACTAAAAACAAACAAACAAACAAAAAAACCCACAAACAAACAGAAAAACAGAAAGTGGAGTGAAGGTGAGGGAAGCTCTTCTTTACATAGAATGCCAGTTAAAAATGGAGAAGGGCTCTAGCCAGTTTGGCTCAGTGAGTAGAGCATTGGCCTGTGGACTGAAGGGTTCTGGGTTTGCTTCTGATCAAGGGCACATATCTCAGTTGCAGACTCGATTCCCAGTCCTGGTTGGGGTATGTGCAGGAAGCAACCAATCCATGTGTCTCTCTCACATCAATGTTTCTCTCTCTCTTTCCCTCTCTGTCTCTCCCCCACCCTTCCACTCTTTAAAAATCAATGGAAAAATATCCTCAGATGAGGATTAACAAAACAACAACAACAAACAAACAAACAAAAAAGAAATGTAGAAGGAATGATAGAATTAAAACATCACTATTTGCGATCACATTATAATAGCAGATTATAATGAATGCAAAAACTGTTGGGAAATGGGATATTCACATGTTTTCATAGTGTCACGTTGTTTATTAAGTATAAAAGGAAAAGATACACTTAAATGAAGAAATCTGATGGGTACCACCTTAACCAACTGTTTAAACTCAGCATTAGAGATAATGGGACAAACAAGTTCTTTCCGATGTGATGTGATTGCAAGCTCACAAGATCATCAACATAGTATTCTTGCTAAATATTTAATATGAGTCTAACCATAGGAAGCATCATACAGCATACAGTATTCAATGATACAGTCAGTCTAGCCTTTTCAAATTTGTCAGTCAATGTCTCATAAAAAGGGAGGTTATTCTAGATTATGGAGAGTAAAGAGACAAGACAATTATGCAGTGTGCAGTTATTAAAATAGGTATAAAGGAAGTTTTGTGGTAAATTGGAGAAATTTAAATATGGATCATATATTGCCCTGGCTCAGTGGATAGAGCATCAGGCTGTGGACTGAAGGGTGCCGGGTTCAATTCTGGTCAAGGGCACATACCTGGGTTGTGGGCTTGATCCCCACTAGGGGGCATGCAGAAGGCAGCTGATCAATGATTCTCATCATTGATGTTCCTATCTCTCTCTTCCCTCTCCCTTCCCCTCTGAAATCAATAAAAATATATCTTAACAAAATAAATAAATATGGATCATATATTAAATAATGTATATTTATTAAACCTCCTGGGAGTAAAATGGTATTATAGCTAAATAGAAAACTGCTCTTGTTCTTAGGAAATATTTGTTAAACTGTAGAGATTCAGCCTCCCTTCAGCCCCCCAAAAGAGAGAGAGCAAGACAGAGATGGCAATAGAGCACAATGTTAGCAATTGATGAATGTATTTGGAGGGCATTTAGGTGTATTTGGATTATTCTTTCAACTTTTCTCTAGGTTAGAAATTTTTTCAAATACAAATTGAGGTGATACATAATTATGATATGGTTTGAGGCCTGTTGAATAAGTGGTTAAGTTGGCTTGTTGATTCCTGGAAGTGAACTGACTGGGGATCAAACCTGCAACCCTGGCCTAACAGGACAATGTTCTAACCAACTAAGCCATCTGCCCAGGGGCACTGTTACTTCCTTATACCTAAATTAAATAGACTTAACTTGCTGTAGTCACTTCTGGACAACCACAGGCTTCTTCCACCTCCTGTTTGCTCTGCCCCTTGCCACAGGGCCTGTTATTATAAAATTTATGACTCAGAGTAATAAAACAAACTTGGTAAACTTTGTAGGCAGTCAGATGCCCACAAAAAAAGCCTTAGGGCCTCAGCCATTCTTGCCCAGTTTCACTTCTGAAACTCTCCGTTTAGAGAAGTTCCAAGGCAAGATACATTACTGTAAGGTAGTGATTCTCAAACTAGAACCTCTTTGGAATCACGGATCCTCTGCCCACACCATAACCCAGAACAGTGGTCGGCAAACTCATTAGTCACCAGAGCCAAATATCAACAGTACAACGATTGAAATTTCTTTTGAGAGCCATATTTTTTAAACTAATGCCACTTCTTCAAAATAGACTCGCCCAGGCCGTGGTATTTTGTGGAAGAGCCACACTCAAGGGGCCAAAGAGCCGCATGTGGCTTGCAAGTCTCATTTTGCCTACCACAGACCCAGAACAATTACATCACAATCTGTGGACATGGAACCCAGGCATCAGTAGTTTTTCAAGCTTCCCAAGTGTCAGACTCATTTGAAAATAGTTGCTTTAAGGTAAGTCTTTCCATGTGGAAATATGATGAACCAAGGAATAAGTATTCAGAACCAACATCAGTCAGGGAAGAAAGGCAACCCACTCGGGCCTCCAGGTTGGGATAGGATGCAGGCTCAGAAGGGGAAAAGCTCCTCGGGCTGTAGAGAATAAAGAGAAAGAGTGCTCTTGCCCGGACAGCCATCCAGTTCCTTCCCTGCTCAGTCCCTCCCAGTGGCCACTGTATTGTCAAACTTTTTACGTCAGTTCTAGCAGCTATTTTGTAGACCTCATAAGATTTTCTACATAGATGACAGTTGTCTGCACATAAAGGTAAACTTATTCTTTCCAGTCTGGATGCTTTTTATTTCCTTTTCCACCTCATTGCAGTAGCTAAAACCTCCAGTACAA